CCCCCCCCCCCCCCCCCCCCCCCCCCCCCCCCCCCCCCCACGGCCGCAGAGGAAAGCTGACGTTTACTAAGGACAGTTTCAGTTCTAGAAGATGGAAAGCTCTGGAGATCTGTTCCACAGTGACATAAATTTAGTAAATATGATGTAGCTATACACTTAAAATGATTCAGAGGGGGAGATTTAATGGTTTTGACCACGATTTAAAAAACAACCCACAGAAACAGCCTAAGCCATGTAGCGTCTTTGCTAATGGTAACGATCCATCGTACCCGGCGTATCTATCAGATTGACTCTATACCCTTTCCAGTCAAGAGTCACAGCTGCTGACTGGATGGTAATGCCCCTTTCTCTCTCTTGAGCCATGAAATCCGTCACTGTGTCGCCATCATCAACATCTAGTCAGGAAAAAGAGGCCACAGTTTAGTTCAAAACAAGTGTGTTATACTGGCTCTCAGTACATCCCCCAGGATAGCTTAATCTGCTCTGAGAAAAGGCAACCCAAAGTATTTAGTTCAATACTTAAAGCCCTTTATTTCTCTATATAAAAGCCTTGTGAGAGGAAAGCCTTTTCAGCGAGATTAGTAATTCTGTCATGGAAGTTTCTTTTGTCTTTAATTCGACTAAACCACACATCCTCCACTTTAGCCCTAGTTTGATGTTTCCTGCTCCCTCTATGTGCCACATCCCTTGCTAGGAGGCAGAGCCCAGTAGCTCACTCGAGTCCACTCATTAGGCTCCCTCCTAACTTTATTCTTATTCCTGCCACCTTGATTATCCTGCTCTGTACAGTAAATTTAACATAACAGAATGACCCTTGCCAGACTGTCACGAGGACAAAATGAGGCAAGATATAAAAGCCAGTCCAATCCAGTAAAGTCAGATAGCAGCGACACTGCATGAGGAAGGTCAAACAGTCCTCCCAAGTTAAGTCACCCTTTACACAGACTCTCATTGCTGTTCTCCAGAGCAGGGAGTTGTCTGCAAATAAAGCCTGAGGACAAGTCTTCAGTATAAACCCATGCTTAAATAAACTTAATTCTAAAAGCTCACTCAAATGAGTCTTAAATTACACCTTTTATTCTGATTAAATTTATGGACAACAAATACATGAAAGTTATTTTTACAATTCAAAATTCATGAATATAGGATATCATACTAATTATACTAATTATTCTATTATACTAATAGAAGACCCTCCCCAAATGGCATTTACCTTCCCATTACTCTCTTTCTCTCATACACACACCACCACCACCACCACCACCACCACCACCACCACCACCACCACCACCAGGGAATATAAAGAAATGTATTTGCAACAACTCTAGCTATACTGTGTAGCCCTGACAGGCCTGGAATTCATTACATAGTGCAGGCTGGACCGGAACTCACAGAGATCTGCTTGACTCTGCCTCCCTAGTGCTGGGATTAATGATGGGAGCCACCACATCCAGCTCATGTTATTTCTTGAGATTCTTCTAACCAACAAAACAAACTCTAGGTTACCAAGGTAGAGAACTTAGTACTAAGAACAACAGAAAAATCTAAAATAAGTTCTTAATGCTTCAGATTTTGACGTATTTCCAATTTCCAGTTTTAGATTTTCAGAATAGGAATGTCCAATCAGTAAAGTTCATGAAAACACTTCGAAACAAAAAATTCTAACATCTGAAATATTTCAATATCTTAATTGCATTAGATAAAGAATGCTTAACGTATACTGACTGCAAATACACTTAAAACTGGTTCCTTCTTACAACTTTAAAAATTGAAACTTAGAAATTTTACACTCACTTCAAGTATGCAAACTGGGGCTGTGAGGGAAGGATTATCATCAGACATATGAAGCAACAGCAGCGTGGCACTGCTCACAAAACGCTGTCAGTCATATACTCTTTAACATAGAACAACATGAAGAATCCAGGTGGCCATCTGCTTAAGAACTTACCACCGTCTTGATGTTCTTTTCCTCTCTTACGCATCCACTCTGTCATATTCTCAAAGGTCTAGGAAAATGGCTCCCAATAGGAACACATCATAACCAGACCTCTAGAACCCATCATGGGACTCACCAGCACTACTTAAAAACAGTGAGCCCTGATCTATGCTCACGCAAGTAACAGTTTCTGATAAACTCAGTGACACACACATACACTCACTGAACATACTCACTGATTCATACTCACACACATTCTCACACTCACAGACACACTCACACAGCTCTATTCCCACCACTCCCACGCTCACATGAAAACTAAAAAAAAAAAAAAAAACAGAGCAGCTGGGAAGAAGGGCTGAGCAGGAGGTGTGGTGCACAAGAGAATGTAACATGTAGAAATACAGTATATGCACATATGGAGTTGTTAAAAACAAACAAGGAACACTCAAAAACTGATGCAAATAAAACCAAAAGGCTGCTCTGGGGAGCCCTAAGTGTGAACCTTCAGAGAAGTAACTCCAATTTGTAAAAGCTATAACTGAGCAGTAGATTATAGACCTTAGTAAACAAGCAGTTAGCTAAGGAACAACAAAGTCACCTCCTTTCTTACATAAGAGTTTGACCTTAACTTTCCAGGTTTTCTCTTCTTCTAGAAATTAGACAATAAAACTATGTCAACTATGTGGCTAGGGCACACGCACACACGCGCACACACACACTCTAACCACCACCTTCTTTCTCTTCCCCCTCCTCCTTACTGGTAAACTCTTATCAACTGGGAGTATTACAGCTTAGACTTACATATCTCGGGCTTCCCTGACTTGGGTATAGAATGTCCCATACATGAAGCCTGGACACTGTAACTAAGTCTTCTCACTCGGATGGCTCTTGTAGAAAAAACCATCTAATGCTAAGCGTGGTTCTGTCCTTCAGCCTTCTAGTAGACCGGTATCAAATGAAGCCCATGATGGCCGTAGGGGACTCAATGCTGAGCTGAGTCTCAGAAGACCTTCTGATGACGCTGCAGCTACCTATCTTAATGTTGTAAGATAGACTCTCATGCCATACTCTAGTTGACTTCTTAACCAAAATCTTTTCCAGTGATGCTTTTGCTAGTGGGGTTTGGGGACAGGAGGAATCCATTCTAACCTCCCAATGATCTTGTGTATCCAGAATAGTACAAAATTCTTTCTGTGGTGGTAGTTTTGCCTGCATCAATATGAGCCATAATTCCAATATTACGAATTCTGTTTGAAAGGGAGGAAAAAGTATGCATTATGAGGTGCATATGTCAACCAAAATATCTGTTGTACATATTTTAAAGGTGACTAGTTCCTATAATATATGCGATTATGTACAAAGATGAATACAAAACCTATTTTTAGATCTATTATCAGCATATACTAAGTACACATAATAAGGGGCTGCACTATGACATTCTCATTCATGTATGTGATACATTTTGCTCATATTCACCCCACCACCCTCTCTTGTTTCTTACCCACTCTCGCTGATGTATGCTACCACATTATCACACAGAATAGCTAAGTAGTAAAAGGGCTAATCTCAATCTTTTAAAAAATCTATATTCATTTTTGTTACATTAAAAATTCTTAATATTTAACTGAGAAAAAAAATCTTTTGAGATACATACTAACATTTATACAGAAACAACAGAATTACATAAGTCACCAGTAAAGCCTGTCAGAGAAGACTTGCAAACTTCCTCAACAGCCTCTAGAAACCCAATCTAACAACAGTACTTACTTGGCCACAGGAGGGTTAATGATGGAATGAAGAGATTTGACATCATTTCCTACAATGCCTAATAGGAAGAGAATTCAAATTAAACTGTTAAATTATTAAAAATTTTTTCTTTTAACTTATAAATGAAAACATACAAAATAAATTAAGCATATACAATATTCTAGATCAAGCAAAATCAAGCTCAATAACATATACTTATTTAGGATTCATTTTCTACCAGTAAGTAAGAAAGCCGTGGTTGATGGTACAAGTTCTAGATACAAATTTATTTTTTTAACCCACACCTATAAAACATTTTCTAAATCAAATCCTTAAAAAACACAGATTTTCCAGGCAGTGGAGGCTCACGTCTCTAATCCCAGCACTCAGGAAGCAGAGGCAGGTAGATACTTTATGAGTTCGAGGCCAGGCTAGTCTACAGAGTGAGTTCCAGGAGAGCCAGGGCTACACAGAGAAACCATATCTTGAAAAACAAAAAAACCAACCAACCAAACAAAAACAAACAGATTCATTTCAGTCGGTTACTTATTACACTTCAATTTACATTACACTAGAATTAGTGTTCATAACAATATGACAGAGGCTAACAGTAGACCCTAAATAAATGTAAAAACCTAACCACGCAGCCATGTAAACCTACATTTTAGGTCTTGACAAATTTCCAGCTGCCATACAAGTTAGCATCTCCCTTCCTTCAGCAATGCCAGCCCGATGCCTTTAGAGACAGACAGGCATCCTGAGTGCAAATCAGTCAAAAAAAAAAAGAAAGATCCCAATACTTCCATATAGCTAAGCAGTGTTTCTTCTTTTGTTTTTTTTTTTTTTTTAAATGTTTTTGTTATTTAATGTTTTCTTTGGTTGGTTTGGTTTGGCTTGGTTTTTTTGAGGCAGTGTCTCACTATGAAGCCTTGGTTGGCCTGGGCTACTTGTGATAGAGATCAGGCTGGCCATGAACTTACAGAGCTCCTCCTTCCTCGGAATGCTGGGGTTAAAGGTCTGCAGCAGAGCACCCAGCTTAGATCTAAGGTTTCTGAGGCAGAGTCTTGTACGGAGGTCTGCCTGGAGTTAACTCTCAAGCCTGTTTTCTCTGCCTCGCTAGTACTAGAGCTTTAATATGAGTCACACACAGCCATGTGGTTATTTCTGACATGGAAATGTCCAGTGACCACTCCATGCTAGCTAAGTTTCAATAATTATACTGAAGCAACAACAGTTTTACTTGTGAATATAATCTCCACTTTCATGCTATTTAAACCAGGTATTTTAAATAACAGTTTTACATTTTTAAAACCTCATTGGGCAGTCTAAAGACAAAAAAGACAAAGTACACACCACAGTTAATTTAGGAGGGACAGAGCACAAAAGCCTACATACAAACAATGCATCCAATGAAATTCATAAATCCTTGTAAATCAACAGCCAATCAGTAATGTTTCACCTCATTACTTGCAATGATAAACTTGGTCAGAGGACTGGCCATGGTGTTAAGCTAAGTTTAAGCAGTACTATTTGTTTACTTCAAACACAGGAGGCCACGGGGAATGAAGTACTCAGGTCCCAGGCATTCCAGATTCTAGTAGTCATGCCTCTAATCTAAAATATCCAGAGAAATATGTAACTGAACTTCTAATATTCTTCAAAATAAATTATTCTAGTAAATCTCTATTGACAGAAAACATGATAACATAAAAATCAGCAGTGAACTAAAAATAAGTAGATTCACTAAACTTACTTAGATTCACACTAAACTTAGGAGCCAGCTACTAACCCCAGCCACTCTTCCTTTGCTCAGCTCATCAGAAGCCCTGGAGAGGAGGAAGAAAACTCCACTGGTACCCATCCACCTCACACCTACCAAACCCCTCTCACCTAATAATCTCAAGTAAACAGCCAACACGTTAAAATAGGTTGGAAACTTCTAAAAAGCAAGATTCTTCAAGAAAAGCAAAAGGAAAGATAATGTGAGAAGGAAGGAGAGAGCAAGGTTTCAGGTGAACTAGAAGAATTTAACATCTGTACCTGGGGGGGAACTGTAGTCTCTTGTAAGAGGCACCTGAGTCTTTGATCTTTTTAAATTTGCTTTTATTTTACAGTAACACATGGCCTAGGAGAAACAAAAAGAAATTGACATTAATTTTACTTTAGCAATACATATCAAACATAGAAAGCAGAAGATCCATATTCCTGCTGGGTGCAGTGACCCAGGCCTGTAATCCCAGGATTTAGGAGGCTGAAGCAGGAAGATCTTCAGCTTGAGGCCAGCAGCCACTACAGAACAAGAATCTCTATATGCTCTCTCAGTGGAAATATTCATTCTTCAGAATGCTACTCAAGTAATTTTTTTCTTTTCTTTCTTTCTTTTTTTCTTTCTTTCTTTCTTTTTTTTTTTTTTTTTGAGACAGGGTTTCTCTGTGTAGCCCTGGCTGTCCTGAATCTCGGTAGACCAGGCTGGCCTCGAACTCCGAAATCCACCTGCCTCTGCCTTCCAAGTGCTGGGATTAAAGGCATGCGCCACCACTGCCTGGTTCAAGTAATTTTAAACTAACAAAATGAACTGACAGCCTACTGACAAGGCCTGCATTGCCTGGATTACAGGCTCTCCAAAGCTCCCTGCTGGGTCACTGCTAGAGGAGAAACAGGCCCTTCCCAGTAGGTGAGTGACAGAGGGCATGGTTCCACTTGAGGATTTATATTTGTGATGAAAAATGAAAGCAAGAACTTACAAAACATATAGAGATCTAGTGTTAGAATAAAGCTTACAGGGAAGATGCTAACATGAAACATGAGGCAAGTGTCAACCTGCCTCAGAAACTGGCTTCCAAAAGCTCTACAGACAGTTGTATCTTAAATATTTAATAATGACGTTATATCTTGACATAATGTCACAGAACTTCAACTTCACAGGTTGAATACTGTCTTAGTCAGGGTTTCTATTCCTGCATAAACATCATGATCAAGGAGTAAGTTGGGGAAGAAAGGGTTTATTCAGCTTACACTTCTACACTGCTGTTCATCACCAAAGGAAGTCAGGACTGGAACTCAAGCAGGTCAGGAAGCAGGAGCTGATGCAGAGGCCATGGAGGGATGTTACTCACTGCCTTGCTTCCCCTGACTTGCTCAGCCTGTTTTCTTATAGAACCCAGGACTACCAGCCCAGGGATGGCACCACCCACAATGGGCCCTCTTCCCTTGATCACTAATTGAGAAAATGCCTAACAGCTGGATCTCATGGAGGCATTTCCTCAACTGAAGCTCCTTTCTCTGTGATAACTCCAGTCTGTGTCAAGTTGACATGCAAAACCAGCTAATACAAATACTTCACAGGTATTTCAACCTACAGATACACACATACAGCACATGCACAGAGAGAAAGAGAGAGAGAGAGAGAGAGAGAGAGACAGAGACAGAGACAGAGAGAGAAAGAGAAGCACACTCTTAGTTAGCAGTGTAAGGGTGAGCATGAAGTACTGCCATTCTTGGAAGAAACAGAAAACACCAGCTTCCTTCACAACACTGGACATTTTTATTATCTCATGAGAACAGCATTTCATTTTGTTGGATGCTTTTTTTTATTGCTAAGCAAATTTTTAAGCTGCATTACCAATTAAATTAGGGCAGCCTGAGCAAACCACATTTGGAATGATGAGCTATATACTAAGTCTCTGGGGAAAGATAATTAGGCTGAGTAAAACCATTTCTGTGAGAAACATTTACATTAATGTGCACACTGAACGTTTTCTGATGAGTCACTGCAAAAGTCCTCCAGTTGGTAAACATTCTGGTCTTCTAGAATGTTCTCTCTGAAAAAAAGAGACAAACAAAATTATAAAATTAAACATATACACGTCAGTAAGGTATATATAAAAAATAGAATTCTATGTTTTAGAAAATAATTTGAAGCCGGGCAGTGGTGGCGCACACCTTTAATCCCAGCACTTGGGAGGCGGAGGCAGGAGGATTTCTGAGTTCAAGGCCAGCCTGGTCTACAGAGTGAGTTCCAGGACAGCCCGGACTATACAGAGAAACCCTGTCTCGAAAAATAACAAAAAGAAAGTAATTTGGAATAATTTTAGCTACCAAAACCACAATGCATCATTAAAAAGTAAATGAAACACACAGTTCTTACTTAAGCTTAAACTGTCCCCCCCCTTAAAAAAAAAAGACATCTTAGTTCTTAAAGACATGAAGGGCTGAGAAGTTGGTAGATGCCTATAATCTCAGCACTCGGGAAGCAGAGAGAGGAAGGTTGTCAAATTTTAGGTCACCTGGGCTACATAGTAAGACTCTGTTCAAAGAAAAACCAAACCAAACTTTAAGATATAATTAAAGTACATTTATTGAAAATTTAAAAAACTAAACAGAAATATTCTTTAGGTAAATATTTAGAATTATGTATGATAAATATCTCACAGAAACTTGGTAGTTTCTCACTGACAGCAAAACCTATCTATTCTGATTTTTTAACAATAAATATATGAAAATAAAACACATAAAAGCTATACAAAAGCAAGCTGCTTTCCTCTGTGAATACAGAAGCAGAGCACATTTACTTTGCAAACAGTTGCAACCCTGAGGTGGAGTTCCCAGGCACAGCATCTGCTTACTCTGTCAAGGTCCTGGGTCTGACCTCAGCACCACAACAGGCCCTTAGACCCACATTCACCAAGGCTTCCCTGAGCTTGAAGTCCAAGATCAAAGGTGAGAGGAGAGGACAGAAGTATCTGACGCCTAGGACATGGGAGGCAATGCTAAATCAGTTATGCAGAATTTTCATACTACATGACTGAGGCCATCAAGATGGCTCAAAAGATAAAGGCACTTGCCACCAAGCTTGTGGTGCATGCCAGTGAGCTGGAGGCCAGCCTGGTCTACGAAGCAAGTTCCAGGACAGCCAGCTCTACCCAAATTGAAAACACCAAAAAAGGAAGGGGGAAAAGAAAATCGGCAGCTTGAATTCAAGGCTAAGGCTTCTTGATATGTACACCTTTTAATTTTGGTAGTTCCAAGCTAGAGTTAATTAGTGAGCTGTGATTACAGTACAGAGATAAATCTTGGGATTGGAGAGATGGCTCAGTGGTTAAGTTTGAATGTCCTTCTAGAGGACCAGGTTCAATTCCCAGCACCCACTAGCACTCCCAACCATCTTTTATGATTCTACACCCTGTTCTGGCCTCGAAGGGCACCAGACACGCACTACACGTTAAAAAAATAATAAGGCAACAAAAAACAATTTCCTAAAAGGTAAAACTGCCCTTAATTAGACAGGATTTCTTGGGAAATCCTACCCACAACTCAAGTCTGTTTATTCCTAGTTTCAGGATACGAGAAAAAAAAAAGCCCTCAAGAACTTAGGGGGAAGTTCTAGGCTTCCACAAAAACAAAATTATCTCTTGCTTTCCTGACAGCTGGCCCAGTAGTATTATTTTCTATATAATAAATTTCAATCAATTGTGCATCTGTGAGCAACAGGAGAGAAACAAGCAAACAAATCAGTTGCCCTCGATAAAGAATGAAGCAAAACGTCCCTAATGCAGCAGACGTCATGCCGGGGTCCAGGGGGCCCCGTGGTGGTCGTCTGTAACCCGTTGCGAGTCGCAGCTACAAGGTCAGCACGCAAGACCAGCAAGACCGCGGCGCCTACAGGGCGCTTGGTTATGCTAGAAGACCAGCCTCTCCGCCGAACCGCGGGGAATGAGAGAGGAACCGTCCTCTCTCAAACTGCCAACGGCCTCACGTTACAACACCCCACCGCCTCAACCATCCTCATACCCGCAGAAGGAACCTACGAATCGCCCGGCTTGTAGCTCCATAAGCAGCTTCCGCCCCCTCCCAGTTCCGGTGGCACGTCAGCTAAAACTCTCCTACTATCAACTTCCGCTCTTCTGCCTAGGATCCGAGCGACAACACGGAACTGCTGTGCGGCGCTTGCACTCCACTCGGCCTACTTAAAGGACTACCCTTTCCCGTTCCGGGTTGACCAAACCAGGCTCGTGGGCCAGTGACACCCAGAAATTAAAAGGTTTTTAAAACCCGGGAGCTCGCGGACGGCTGCTCCGCGGCTGTCAACATGGTAAGGAGGCCTCCAAGGGCGCCGGAGACGGAGGGCCTAGGTGTTAGCGTGGTTGGGGTGTCGGGGCGGCAGGACCGTGGTGGGCGGAACTGAGATGCTGTGGAGGGAGATGTAGTTTCCGCGAAGGAATGCTTAACTTCTGGACCCGGAACACAAGTCTTGGAATGAGACAGAGTTCACTATTAAAGTCCTGATCTTGCTACCGTGACATTAGTGCCAGCCTAATGGAATACATTTGAGACTTGTGATAATAACTGTATAATCGCATCGCACCTTTTAAATGCTCAGTATATGATATTCTTTGCAAGAAGCCAAACTGCGAATGAATTGCGGACCAATGTTCTCTTTATAAATGAATTGCCAGACCGTCCGTTCTCATTATACTGGATGTTTCTCTTCAAAGCCTTAAACCTTCTTTGTAGTTGCTGCAATGACAATGCCCATAATGATTTTGTTACCTAGTTTTACTCTCTGAGCTTGAGTTGGCCTTTGTATCGTGGGTTTTGTTTGTTTGTTTTTGCGGGTTCAAATATAAGTAAATGTTGACGACAGTTTCTTAATTTCTTTTTGTTTGTTTGTTTGTTTGTTTTTTGGTTTTTCGAGACAGGGTTTCTCTGTGTAACCCTGGTTGTCCTGGAACACACTCTGTAGACCAGGCTGGCCTCGAACTCAGAAATCCACCTGCCTCTGCCTCCCAAGTGCTGAGATAAAGGCGTGAGCCACCACCGCCTGGCAAGTTGTTTCAAGTTGGTGGCACACGCCTTTAATCCCAGCACTTGGGAGGCAGAGGCAGGTGGATTTCTGAGTTCGAGAGTTCGAGGCTAGCCTGGTCTACTGAGTGAGTTCCAGGACAGCCAGGGCTACACAGAGAAACCCTGTCTTAAAAAAAAAAAAGAGAAAACAACTTAAAACGCAAAAGGTATCCCATACAGTACTGACAACATGCAAAATAATACACCCTCTTTGGAAGCCAACAGGGCAGTAGACAGTTTGCATACAAAGATCTGAATTCAACTATATTTATTGCAACTTTATTCTTAATCACCAGAGGGAAAAGATGAACGGTCCAGATATATATCATATGGTCAATGGATAAACAAATGAGTTTATATCCACACACTGGGATATGACCAAATACTATAAAATATTTAAGAACTGGTATACACAAAATGGGTATATTCTTGTTGAAAGAAGCCGGATACAGAAGGATGTATGTTCTGTAGAGTCCACTCACTGGGCAGAGTAAACCATAGAAATACAAGATTGAAGATGGGAAAAGAAGATTGACCTCAGAGTACCACAAAGGAACACTTTGGGGTGATGGAAAATAAATATGTCATCTTGAGTATGATGGAGGGGTTGGGGATTTAGCTCAGTGGTAGAGTACTTGCCTAGCAAGCACAAGGTCCTGGGTTCTGTCCTCAGCTCTGGGGGGAGGGTGGGGGGGAGACAAAATAACAAAGACAAAAAAAAAAAAACCCCACAAATGTAATTGACTGTGATGGGTAGAGAAATGTGTAACTGGTCAGGAATTACAACTACATACCCATAACTAAAAATGGTAAATTTTGTTTTATGTAAATTATGTTTTAGTAAAATAACATTTTCTAATAAAAACAATCCTGAAAGTAATTTACCTTGTTGTTTAAAGAAGGAAAGAATTAAATCCTGTAGTAATCTCATATTTTTAGTAGATTTTAGATAAATCACTTCATTAAATAATAGCTCTCCCTGAAAGTCATGCTGGTGTAAGCACATGAACATTGTCCAAGGTAAAAATATATTTAACTTCATCATATTAAAGTCTTAGAATAATCTTATCAATACTTACAAAAATTAAAGTAACATTTCTTGAATCATTACAGCCACAAAATGAATATATTGAATTGCACCGCAAACGATATGGCTATCGTTTGGACTACCATGAGAAAAAGAGAAAGAAGGAAGGTCGGGAGGCCCATGAACGTTCAAAGAAGGCAAAAAAAATGATTGGCCTGAAGGCTAAGCTCTACCATAAACAGCGCCATGCCGAGAAAATACAAATGAAAAAGACGTAAGTGGTCCCATCTACCTCTCATTCTTAGGTAATAATTACTAAGCACACTCTGAATCTTTTTCCTTTCTCATAGTATTAAGATGCATGAAAAGAGAAACACCAAGCAGAAGGATGATGAGAAGACTCCACAAGGAGCAGTGCCTGCCTATCTGCTGGACAGAGAGGGGCAGTCCAGAGCAAAAGTACTTTCCAACATGATTAAGCAGAAACGAAAAGAAAAGGCGGTAAGCAATAATTTCTTTCTTTTTTTTTTCTTTTTTTTTTCTTTTTCACAAGAAGAATATCTAAATTTGAGATTCTAGATTTGTCTCCAGTTTAATTTGAAACATTAAGGGCAACTATTAGTTCCATTATTGGAATATTGAAGTCTTAGAATGTTTTTGTGTAATTTTTTAAATTTCTATTTTGATGAGGATTTAAGATTTGTTTATTTTAATGTGTGTTTGCCTATGTGTGTACATGTATTTATGACAGTACATGATGCTGACGTAGGCTAGAAGAGGATGTCAGTTCCCCTGGAACGGAAGTTATTAACTGTTATAAGCTACTATGTGGGTGTTGGGACCTGAACACAAGTTCTGTGAAGAACAGCAAGTGTTCTTAACCGCTACCTCCAGCCCAATTTTGTAAATTTAGTTTAATAGAAACTTGCTGTCTTGTCACCAAGGTTGGTGTATCCCAGTTGGAAGAATTTTAGAATTTATGTTTGAATAAAATTTATCAAAGGGAGCTGTGGATATAGCTCAGTTGATGAGTATCTGTCTAGCATGTCTGTAATCCCAGCATGTGGGGTATGGGAGGCAGGAGGGTCAGAAGTCTAAGGTCATTCTTGGCTACATAGCAAGTTTGAGGCCAGGTTGGTCTCCATGAGTCCCTGAAGACATCAGAATGTCACACATCTCTCATTTAAAAATTAATTAAAAACAAATTCAGTAGTTAATGACTTGCTACATTTGAAAACCCCTAATGCTATGCTATTGTAGAGAAAAAACAACTTTTATTTTTGCCTTGCAGTGTCAAAATTGGTTCCAGTAGAACTTTACTCACCCTTTTACAATTACTGTCAAAACTAGCTAAAATTCTGTCCCAATACAGAAAGAACATAGATATTTTTAAGCATCTGTGAGTAGATTTAAGAAATCCAATAGGGGGCTGGAGAGATGGCTCAGTGGTTAAGAGCACTGACTGCACTTCCAGAGGTCCTGAGTTCAAATCCCAGCAACCACATGGTGGCTCACAACCATCGGTAATGGGATCCAATGCCCTCTTCTGGTGTGTCTGAAGACAGCTACAGTGTATTCATATATAATAAATAAATAAATCTTTAAAAAAAAAAAAAAGAAATCCAATAGGAACATAAACAATGTTAAAACCATTTTTGAATTTGTAAATATCGTAAATTATAATGGTATGACTTACCATGACTTAATTACCATGACTGAAGACACTAGTGAGTATCTACTCAGTGAACATGTTGAATTAGTGTGATTGCAGATAAAAGAGACTAGAGTTCAGGGAGTTATAAATCGTTATAGGTAGTAATGCACTTTGAAGCGTTGGTTCATCCTAGAACCCATGTCTTCGTAATATTAGTCCAGAATTCTTTCTACTGCCTTAACACTGCTATAGCTTTAGGGTTTTTTTTTGCTTTATGTGTCTGTTTATTCTGGGGTGCTACAGAGCATGTGTTGTTACTAGCAGTCTTAAAATCTATTTTAGGCAAAAATACAAAGAAATTAAGTGGAATTAGTCTTCTAATAGTCTGCTTGTAAGTAATAACAAGCACACACACTATTATTTATGTCACTGCCTTATAGGTGTATCTTTTAGGTCTGTAACAAGGTATGAAGAGAGTCTACGTTGACCAAACCATTTATATAATGTGCCCATGATATCCAAATTTAGCTGATTTTGCCAATTATGACTTATGAAGAGACAGCACAGACTTCTCCAAAACAGTTGAACAAGTGTGTTGAATGGTTACGGGAACATGAATCTTTTCTTTTCTATGACCAAAAACACTTGACTTATTCTTACTATCCTTATTTTACAATATCAACCTACACTTTTAGGGAAAATGGGAGGTTCCTCTACCCAAAGTTCGTGCCCAAGGAGAAACAGAAGTATTGAAAGTTATTCGAACAGGAAAAAGAAAAAAGAAGGCATGGAAGAGAATGGTTACTAAAGTCTGCTTTGTTGGTGATGGTTTCACAAGAAAACCACCTAAATATGAAAGGTTCATTAGGCCAATGGTAAGTCTCTATAGGAGTGCGATGATGTAATGTTAGCTCCTTGTAAAGCTGGGTAAAGTATATTACAATTTCTTGAAATTATTAAAATTCGTGTGAAAAACAGCTTGAACAATATTTTGTGCTATTTTTGTTAAGTAATTAGTAGAAATTACTTAGCATTTTTCCATGAATCAAGGCTGAATCTTAACATCAGATTCATAATAGATTTGAAATGATTTTGTATAACACATTGTCAGTCAATTCTTATATTTAAACATGATGCATTAGACTCTTTATCTTATATTTTTCTTGTGCCTGAAGTGCTTAAGGCCTCAGATATGGGCCTTTGTGACAGCCCATTAGACAAAGGAACATTTGCTTACATTTGGTCTTAGCCAAAAGACCAAAAAGCATTGGACTGATCAGCTGAGATTTAGTGAGATAAATGCCTTTTTTCTACTTTTGAGAACATCCTACATGTAATTATTTTGTCTTTATAAGGGGCTATAAAAGTAGCTTGGTTTCTGTTGAGAGCAGTAATGATTATCTTCAAAAAAACTAAGGTCTCCCACATACCATAATTTCTCCTCCTGCTTTGAAAAGTATGGAACTCACTTCTCAGAATCCTCTGGAAGAGATTTAATATAGCACTGTCAGTCTAGCCTGCTTAGAGAACAGGAATGCTGCTGCTGGTGGTCCTCACACTCAGTCTGAACTGTAATGGACTCAAAGGCTGTAGTCACTCCTCACAGTCATAATCACATTCTGGTATCTTTTTTTTTTTTTTTTTTTTTTTTTTTGAGAGGTAAGGTTCTCACAAATACTTCAAAACTAAGACTTTAACACTATTTTCCTTCCATTCTTGCATAAGTAAAAATAAAGCTAGACTTCATAGAGTTGTGATATTTAAAATACTGCGCTCATAGAACCCCATTCAGGTGAGGGTGCCATCTGTGTAACAAGGTCCTCTCTAAATATTCTCCAGTCTTTGAATCTGTTACTACCCAAATGAGGAAAACTAACAGCCTGTAATCCCTTTTTCTTCCCCATCTTTCAAGGTGGCTGAAGTATTTCGAATTCTGAACTTAGAACTTGTAGGTTTGATTCTATTTACCATGTATTATTTAATCTGGAAACAAAACTCGAGGCTGTGTGTAGAGCCTTGTTTCATTATTGACTATGAAAATGGAGGGCTCTTACACAGTTGTCATGTATAAATGAGCCACTAGTGAGCTATGGCAATGTCTGGCATATACCAGTCATCCAATACCAATCCTTCAATAGTATGAGGAGCAGACAAAGAAAAATCCAAGTGTTGACATGATGGTCTTATGTGGGAAAGCCTATTTTGAATTGTGTATACTTCTTCTATCCACTATGTGATTTTTAATCTGTAGAAATGTATTTTCTCTGATACTTTAAGACATTATTCATCCCCTAGTAAAGATAATTAGAAAACATGAGGATTCTAAAGACCCTACTCACCATTTGGATGCATTCTTGGTTTGATTTTTAGGGTCTACGTTTCAAAAAAGCCCATGTCACACACCCTGAGCTGAAGGCTACTTTTTGCCTGCCTATACTCGGTGTGAAAAAGAATCCATCATCCCCATTATACACAACCCTGGGTGTGATCACCAAAGGTACAGTTATTGAAGTGAATGTGAGCGAGTTGGGCCTTGTGACACAAGGAGGCAAGGTTATTTGGGGTAAGTAAAACTTTCAATCTGGTGTTGCTTTTCTGTAGTCCTAATGCAAAGACTTTTCTGAGTGTTAAAAGTATATAACAGTTTTCTAATATAGAACTTAGGAAGTTGGGTTAGAGATAGGAGGAACAAACGTGTCTACAAATTTAGATGTTTGAAAATGAAGAGATGTTTGAAAATAGATGTTATACTGGTTTGAAATTCATTAGAAAAAAGTCATCATGGAAAAGTAAACACATAATTATTAATAAAATGGAGCTGGCAGCCATTTGTGAACATAAGAGTACAACTTCATCATGAATTAGCTTATCCTCTGCTCATTTCTTATATGAATATGGTATTTAGAAATTTTTTTAGGGCTGGAGAGATGGCTCAGCGGTTAAGAGCACTGACTGCTCTTCCACAGGTCCTGAGTTCAATTCTCAGCAACCACATGGTGGCTCACAACCATCTGTAATGGGATCCAATGCCCTCTTGTGGTGTGTCTGAAGATAGCTACAGTGTACTCACATACATAAAATAAAAATAAATCTTAAAAAAAAAAAAGAAAAAAAAAGAAATGCTTTTTAAGACAAAAGTTTTCTTTAAAATGATTTTTGTTAACATTCCTTCCTTTTCTTCCTTTGGTTTGGTTTTCCTTAGGAAAGTATGCCCAAGTTACCAACAATCCTGAAAATGATGGGTGCATAAATGCAGTCTTGCTGGTTTGACAGTGACATCATACAAGTCATTCCACTCACTAGGAAGACTACATGCTGTCAGGAAAACACCATCGCTGTGACCTTTCTGAACTACCATGCAGCCTTACCCCGTGTGCAGTCATCAAGAAGTATTCATTAAGGTGTAAAGGAAAATAAAACACTGCCCTATTTTACAGTTGGTCTTTGGTTTGGGGGCCTAATGACTTACATGTTAATAAAATTTAGTGACTGAGTAGCAAGTATATAAAAGCATACTAAGGACTGGTATGCAGCAATACAGGTCTGTCATTACTTGAAAAATCAGCCACCAGTGTAGCTGAAAGTTCCTGTAAAGGTCAAGTATTTCCTATCTCAGTGCCATTAATCCTGAAACGTGGAACATTTTAAACACATAGTAGTGTTTAAATTCATAAAATATTATATTAGAAGCCTGAGAGACGGTAAATTGAATGAAAAAATTTCACAACTCAGTTTTTCACTCGTAATTAATGCTTTATGTGGTACTTTCAGTGAACTCAAGTGTATTTCCACCATTTGCCATATTCTAAAACTAGGGAGTACACTTACTGAGAATTGGCTTAGATAACTCTTGACCATGTACCAGTGACTTGAGATGTGGCAGCTAATTAGAATTGAAGGTCATGATTTGGGGTTGTAACTTAATCCACGTTCTTAAGAGTATCTGTATACTTTATTAATCTGTAATCACCATATTGCTTTAAATTGTTTATTTTCTTTTTAAATCTACTTTCATAATACAGGCAATGTGATTAGTTGTCTTTAACAGAATCATTCAGTGTCTAACAATATCTTAAGCACATCTTCATGAATGAAACTTGGAAAAAAGAAAATTTAAAACACAAGACTAAAAAACAATCACAAAATATAGGTGTAAGTACTATTTTAAACAGTAAGAAGGAAAAAATAATGTAGCAAAGAAACAAACCATAAGTTCTCCATAAGACTTGGTATTCTGAACAATTTTTTTTTAAGTTTTAGAGTAAACAAAGATAATAAAGGAAAAGGAAGGCTGGTTCCTTGGAAATGATTGACCAGTAAAGACAAAATCACTTCAGGACCTTTCTTGTAATTAGATTTTACATTTTCTACCAATAAAAATGGGCAATGTGTATTTATTTGCCTAAGTTATGGTGAAAGGAAGTCTGACTTAAGGTAATCAGTGGATATTGCTGAAGTATGTTTTTTTATTTTTTTTAGGATTAAAACCAGCAAACTGTCTTATACATGGCAGGAAGTGTTAAAACAAGCATTAGTTCTGTAACAGACCATGCCCCAAAACATCAGATTGCTAATGGACATAAAAGGCAAAAGCTGCGCTCTAAAATACAGTTACGTATGAGTAGTATTACTACAAACTCTTTATTTACAACAAAATCTGTTTCAGTTTGCTGGTGTGACCACAGCTTTGTAATTCCAAAGGAGAGATAACCTCAGAGATGTTTAGTTGGTAGAAGAGCTTGAAGGTATACTAAAGTCACAAACCACTAGGTGACACTGTGGTCACCTGTTCAAAGTAGACCATTAGTGACTACAAGTCCTCCTTAGTCTCTGCAAATCAATGGAAAAAGGAAAGTAGACACACCAGTGGAAGAATGGACACATGGAGAAGACTGACATTCTAAGTCGTGCCATTTGACTTTATTTAAAAAATCATAATAGAATCTCTTTAAAAGTTTTAAAGGAGCTTTACAATAAAATTCTTAAATACATTTTTGTGTGGTTTGACAGTTTAAGTTTGAAAGTAGAACTAAACTTCTGGTAATACTTTTATCTGCTATGTTACATAAGGAAATATATATGTATGTACACAGAAGGAAGCTCCCTTCTCCACAGTCATGACTCCGAAACACAAAGTACCAGTTCACAAGAGACTACAGAATGGGACTGAGTGATTTCAAACAGCTGCTTGAAATCACTGCAGTCCTCATGCCTTGCAAAAGCTACATTTGTGTAGATTCCCTACTGAACATAAATTTTGTTACAAATTTTATATAAACATGTTACTGAATACGAAAGATTTTTCCTGTGACCTAATTTTTCCTCTTATGATCTATACAAACTTCAACTTATGTCCCAGACAAGAAGTAACAACTTTTCTTGTATGCTGAACAAAATGTTTTGAAACTGCTTTGAATCTCATTTATATCAAACAAGTTTAGGAAGTATAAGTAAGTTTATACTGCTAGTATCCAGTGTGATATGTGAATATTTTTCTTTAACTCCAGAGACCATTCATACATTGAGCTGCCAGTGAGTGCAATCTCTTAAAAACACTCATTTAAAGAATGTAATGTAAGGGAAACAGCAAAAACAACATACCCAGAGATTTTTAAGTGTGTGTTAAAAATGAAAGATAGGATTTAAGTTTGTGAATCTTAACAGACCTTTCAGTTACTATCCCTAGTTGAGATATTAACAGATTTCTCTAAATGTGTAAAACACCATCAGGATTTGGCAAATTGACTAGTTAGTCATATCTTATAACTTAGCATTTACTGAGAAAAATGGTCAAAGTATAATTTTTGCTTAAAATGAAATTAACATCTAACCAAAATTAAAACAACGGGTAAGTGCAAGTGTTCTGACTTCATACAAGGGTTTGCTATTTGGTCTGCTGCTTAAAGATCTTAACGAAGACTTTTCTAAAATACCAGCATCCCTAAATAAACTGTAAGACATGAAATCACCAAATCAGCTGACTGAAGACTGAATGGACAAACATAAACTCACAGCACTTCAAATCATGATTCAGATTCCCAACATTTCTCTCACGAGGTTCAAGCTATTTCAAAAACAAATCTAACTGGTCTCAAAATAGTGCCTAACTGAAATACATATCATAGTACATGGTATTTCCCAAGTACTAGTGACCAATTTTCTGTGAATTCTAAGAATAACCATTTTGTTCATTTTAAAACTAATTGTAATTAAAAAATAATTTAAAAATATTTCTAAAATATCAAATATCCAGGTGGTGGTGCTGCACACCTTTAATCCCAACACTCAATAGGCAGAAGCAGTCAGATCAGAGCTGGAAGTCTGCCTGGTTTACAGAGCAAGTGTAGGCCAGTCAAAGCTACACAGGAAAAAAAAAAATCAAATGTTCTTGTCATAGCAATGAAGTACACATACAGGGTAGCCTGCAACCAGTACACTGAATACATCTACAGTATATAAGACCCAAAGGGACAGCAGAATCAGAATGTAGGCATTTGTACATTTCATAGGGCAATTTTACTCCTTCCTTCTAGGCCTAAAGGTGGTCGGATATAGTTCTAGACCTATCCAAAAATGGATACAAGGATATAACTGGCAAGCTGGGTCTTTGATAAAAGAATCACAGTGAGTTAAGAACAGTGGTACAAGAATTAAGGAGGCTGAGGAAGGGCCCTATACTTCTGCATTATCTGTGATCAGGACCACAGTCCAAATTAAACTATATGCTAAATTCAATTACTTGAAGTGTTTAAAAGATAAAAGTGTACTCAAATTTTTCAGCATCTGCAAATATATAGAGAAAAAATATTATAGCAAACTAACACTTCATGTGGAATTTTAAGCTATGTACCCAGACACCACAGCTAAATCTTTTAACAGTACTATTCCCACCAGATGATGTGAAGTCTAGACTACTTCTCACGGACTTGTACTCCATCTACAACTAACATTAACAAATCAAAACAACCATCCTCATAAACCACTGATCATACATTTCTATTTTTGTTCTCTTACTTGATATTATATTTAACTGACACAATTTGTTTAGGTATGCCTACACGTAAAGGATGGACATTGGTTTTGATACTAAGATAAAACTTTAAGAACCCTTACCAAGTTTTACCATTAAAACGCTTAGTATAAAAGATTCTAATAGTTTTTTTCTTAAGTTGTATTTTTAAAATATTAATGATTAGATGTTCCACCTACTGAAGAAAAATAAGACTTGGATTTCCAAAATTGACACATGGTTCATAAATGAAAGTTACAGAAAATAGCATGAAAAATGAAAAAGAATGGTGAATCCTTGTTCTAGAGGAAAGAGAAAACCTGTATCTATAAATAAGTTCACATTGAAATTTTAGAATTTGTCCTGTGCTCCATGCTGTTTATTAATTAACCATGGTTTAAAATCAACAACAAAGAGGATTTGGCATTTCTCCTTCATTCAGGTCAGCTTGGCTTTCTTTTTGCCAGGTCCCTTATGCCCTTTGGCCTTTCTTCTCAGATTGCGTCTGTCTACTACAGGAACTTCCACTTCAATCTCCTCTGAGCTGCTATCCACAGCCTTCTCTGCTGACTGTGTAAACTGTTCCAGTTGCTCAGAAGACGCCTCAGACTGTTCCTCTGACTGGTTCTTCTGTCCTGCATTCTGTGGAAATGACACGTCCTCAAGTTCTACCTCTATCAGAGAACTCTGAGTAGCTGCTGATGGTTCCTGGGCCTCAGGTACCCCCTCCTCACCCTGGTCTTCCACTGAGGAAGTAGTGTTGGGTGATAAATTCTCAGAGACTGGATCTTCAGGAAATTCTGATACCACAGAATTTGGAAAATCACCATCGGACTTTTCTTCAGTTGATACAGTGGCAACATTGTCTGAGCTCCCCAAAAGTGTTTTCTTTCTTGAAACTGGGGACAGATTTTCTTCAGTATGTCCTTTATCATCAGATGGGCCTTGATCGGTCAACTTTTCTGAGTCAGTAACAGGTGAGGTCTAGGAAAAAACACACATACACAAGGAAAAGCTCAGTAAGCAGTTTTACAATGCAATTCTATAGTGAATCCTTCTCAATGTTGCTAAACTACTAAGTGAAGAACTCAGCACTCAGCACTGTTGGTCAGCATGAGGACATTATTTTAAATCCATCGCAGTTTCTTCAAAATTGCCTCACATTGAGTTTAATACACTAAATCCTTAGAAGAAATCCTTTTGTCTAAAAATGTAACCAAGAAACTTTAAGTTTCAAAATCGATCATACCAAATCATCAACTGCCTCTAGGTTTTGGTGTTGCTGGAGACAGAAGGAAGAGTCTCTAGGGACAACAGTGCTACTCTCGCTAAGTGCCAAAGGCCAGCTTCTACAGATCAGATAGATACACTGAGGAGAGGTGTGGAGATGGAGACTAATCACTCAGCAGACTTTTCTTTGAGGGAGTGAAATTTAATTCTCTGGGGCCTGGAAAAAAACTATGGGCTGTCAAAAATGGTGAGGGAGCAAAACTTAATTCTCTGGAAAATGAACACACAAGCACACACGTGCACACACACTCTCTTACTTGGTGAAAAAAGCAAGGCTACAGCAACTTTATTTTTTCTCCTATAGCTTATATATCCCAGAAAAATCTTTCAAGTAATATAAAAATTACAGTGTTGTTATATTCTATTTTTCTTTAAATGAAGATTACAATAAATACAAGTAAAACCAGTACATTCCCCAGTACTCTTTACATGATTAACCATTTGACTTATCACAGGTGAAAAAACAAATTATTCCCAAGAGCATTCATGTCTAAGTACCTTGTTATAGATGAACAAAGTGTAAGCAAGCAAGCAAGAAACTTTATTCAGGCGGTTTCTCTTACTGGCAGGCTAGAATTTGCAGTTACAAAGAGAGGATTGATCACTATCTTAGTAATCTTATAAAAAAAAAAAATCTTTAAAAGAATCACAGCGCTAGCCGGGCAGTCGTGGCTCATGCCTTTAATCCCAGCACTTGGGAGGCAGAGGCAGGCGGATTTCTGAGTTCGAGGCCAGCCTGGTCTACAGAGTGAGTTCCAGGACAGCCAGGGCTACACAGAGAAACCCTGTCTCAAAAAAAACAAAAAAAAAAACAAAACAAAACAAACAAACAAACAAAAAGAATCACAGAGCTAAACTTGTGAATACCCAACTCACCAACAACTTTTTTAATAACTCATATTGGGAAGCTAAGGGCAAAACTACAAGAAATGAATCATTGCCCTGATCACCAGCCCAGCTTTAACAAGAGAGGCACATCACCTAGTAGAAATGAAAATTTCTGGTTTCTTTGGAAAGTCAGTTCTGTCAAATGTTTTTATGGGGCACACAGGCACACAGGATGTTTTGCTAAAGCAAATGAAAGGATGCATGATATTAAGAAGGAATATAAATATATCCCAACAGACAGTGGACAATCCTGGATGGTATTGGTACACCTTGCCATTCCTTACTGTTCATCATTTGTCATAGAAAGAAATGTAACAAAAAACTTCTGGTTGTGTTCTGGCAGCTTCTTGCCACTTCCACAGACTAAGGCTGATCAGCAGAGTGAAGTGGACGTTTATGGATATGTCAGCTGACACAGACTCACATGAAGATTTGCTAAGATAGACTCACGTGGTGTTTTGTTGAGGCAAGACCCATGAGAGGATGTGTGATGTTTGGAGGGAGTATAAAATAGGACTCAACGGACAGTGACAGCACACTTGCAAAAAGCTTTGCACCGCTCTGCTGGTCTCCAGTTGTCTTCGTTTTCACTGATCTTCACTTCATTGAGAAAGGCATGGTAGAGAACTTCTGGTGTCCCTGTCGGTTCTGGTGGATCCTGCTGACTCATGCTGGGTCGTGTCACCACTGCTGATTTGTGTTTGCTCTCTTGACACTAGTAAACTGGACTGCTGGTATCTTGACAATTGGCGATTGAAATACCCCCAAGGAACTACTTCTAAACAGTGTACAGCAGGGCTTCTCCTGGATCAACCTGCCTTTGCTGATCTGTGAATGGTGTTTGCCAATGGATGGAGCTGCTGCTTCAGACTTGTGTGAACTCAACTGCTGATATATCTTGACAACGAAGACTAGATTTGCTCCAAAGAGCTATTTCTAAACAGGTCAACTTCCTCCATATCCTAAAATCTTTTCTTTTCCACTACCTCTGGTGGGTGGTGGGCTAGCAGGGTAAACCGTTTAAGAACCCTTATAAAAAGTAGGCTTTGAAAAATGTAAGCCTTTACCTAGTACTAATCAGGCTGCCATTGTTCTTGTTCTCTGACCTCAAAAAAAAAAAAAACAAAAAAAGACCCCTCAATTATTAAAAGTGTGCCTTTCTGAACTTTAAATTGTTCCCCAAGATTTTCTACCTCAAGGCCACTAACAAAAACACCTAAACCTAACTTTCTAGCAATCTGCATCTCTAAGTTCTTTCTGAGGCTGGTGTGTTACAGGATATTTGATCACATTGTGAACCCTAAGACTGTGAACTGGAAAAACCTTGTTGTTGTGTGGCTCAGCACCAGGACACACCTTTAAACTAATAAGAGGTAAATAAAGTCAAGCTTAGGTCAAGAGGCAGGGCAAGCAGCCAGCTGACAGAAAAGAACGTAAGTGAACAGAAAGGAGGGTCTTTGACATGAAGGGTTTTTAAGACAGTATGGAGTAGAAAGGTCAGCTGGGTGCTTTCTCCGCCTCTTCCTAAAGAACTTCGTGCTAGCAGGGAGGGCCTGGCAGGTTTTCACCACAGCTTTTGGCTCCTAAGTCTTCACTGGTAAAATTGACCATCGAGGATTTTAATTTGAAAACAACAGTGGTGGTTGAATCATTAATCTGCTCCATCAACAATGCTTGAAAAAGATCAATCACAATATACTGTCCAGTGAGGGGTCATAACCCTATAGAGATGTCATACAACTCACTGATTATGAGGAAGGTGGTGACCATGAGGCAACATGCAGAACGCAACTCTATAACAGCATGAAGTCCTCAGGACATGTAGGTCCTTCTACCCCACCTCTCCAAGGCACACCCATCGTGACTGTGCTAGCCTGTGCTATCCAGTGGGCCTCGCTCCTGAGTTCTAAAGCTGTCTGCTGTTGTTCTCACACAGCCTGACAGCTAGGTCTGACTGGTTACATTAGACAATAGCGATCCGGGTGATGGGACATTTATTTATCCACTAACTTCAGTAAGACACTTAGAAAGCATTACTATACATGTCCTTTAGCCATAAACTGAAATATTCCAAACTAATCAAAGTCATGTAAATATTCTACTGAGCGTTTCTTTAAATTTTCTACTGAACTGAAAAGAAACAAAATTTCTGCAGTAGTCATAGTACACAATAGGTATCAAATATTTGGTAAGCCATGTTTTTGGCTTTTTTTCTTTTTGGTTTCCTAACCATTTCCCTAAGTCTGTAAGAAAGAGCTCATTTTGTTACCATAACGTATTTACAATATGGGGTGGAGTGGAATTGAGACTTGAAAGGCAAACATAAAAACTAATATCTCAAATAAAAGTTTTCCTAAAGGATGACATGCTAAGGTGGAAAAAAGATTCTGAATCCTCTACCTAATGGCACCAACATTGGCAAATTTTACTATGAAAAGTGAGGTAATCTCTGCCTTACCTTGTCTAGTGCAGCCTCAGATGCTTTTGAAGACTCTGCTACCAGTGGAATAGAATGCCCAGGTTCTCCACTGGAATTAAAAGGTGGACCTTTTACCTCTTCCTCAAGCCCCTCACTGGTGGAATCCTCCTCTTCAGCTGTAAGGGAGGGCTTGAGGGCAGCATCCATTACCTCACCATTCACAGGCTCTAATGCAGAGTCCTGCAGAAGAGGGAAAGACAGGATTTGATTACAAACTGATTGTTCAAGAGAGGTCCAGTCTCAGCACAGTAAAGAATCTAAGGACTGCACACTCCTACTGTTCTCTGGTGACAGGGCAGGACAAGGATGGCCAGGGTTGCACAATGTGGGTCTAAGAGTCAGTGAAAAGATCCTTCTCCTTCTATCCTTCTTAAAGGACAGTCAAAGAATGAACTACTCAGTAAAGAGACAACAGAGCACAGTGAGACTTAATGCCAGCTCTATGAAACAATACCGGCTGCTCAGCACTTAGGAAGTTGGGGGCTCTGCTAAGATAGCTTGCCATGCAAGAGAGAAGAGTGCCTACCAGTCCTGTAAAAATCTAGGTGTACTTGTTTCTTGCTAAGAAAACAAAATCTCCAGTCTCAACTGGCTCTGTCAGTCAACCCAAACAATCAGTTCTTTGCTTCATATTATTAGACTAAAGAAAAACAGATGGCAAAAATCTTCCAATTTCTGAGACTTTCTTCCAATATTTATCAATTTACATCTATTTAATGTTGAACATTTCTAATTCCTAATGAGAATCTAATAACAATAAGGTATACCATTACCATTTTAAAAAACTAGAAAGTTGCCGGGCAATGGTGGTGTATGCCTTTAATCCCAGCACTTGGGAGGCAGAGGCAGGCGGATTTCTGAGTTCGAGGCCAGCCTGGTCTATAGAGTGAGTTCCAGGACAGCCAGGGCTACACAGAGAAACCCTGTCTCGAAAAACCAAAAACTAGAAAGTTAATGGACAATGACTATTCAAAATTAGATCCAATACTAGATTCCTGAAAACATAGAAAACTTTTCCAGCTGGGCATGATAACACATGCCTTTAATAACAGCATTAGGGAGACAGAGACAGGCAGGTTTCTGTGAATTCAAGGCCAGCCTGGTCTACATAGTAAGTTCTAGAACAGCCAGGGATCTGTAGGGACACACTGTCTCAAATAAACAAACCAAAAACAAAAACCAACATTTTTCCAAAATGAGATGTTTAAAGTAGACTTAACTTTTCCAAAATAAAACTTTTCTAAAATAAAAATTTTCAGGGTGGGCTTGGTGGTATGACTCTAATCCTACTACCTACAAGACTAAGGAGGATTCCAAGTTTGAGGATAGTCTAAGTTTAAAGGCAGTTCTAAGGCTAGCCTGATTACACAAAAGGAGACAGAATGTTTTCTATCATTATATATGGTTTTGTGTCAACTTGGCACAAGTTATCAGATAGGTACCTCCCTTGAGGAAATGCCTCCATGAGATCCAGCTGTAGGGCATTTTCTTAATTAGTGATCAATGGGAGAGGGCCAAGCTCATTGTGGGTGGAGCCATCCCTGGGCTAGTGGTCCTGGGTTCTATAAGAAAGCAGGCTGAGCAAGCCATTGGGAGCAAGCCAATAAACAACATCCTTCCATGGCCTCTGCATCAACTCCTGCCTCCAGTTCCTGCCCTGCTTGAGTTCCTATTCTGACTTCCTCCAATGACAGACTATGATCTGGAAGTATAAGCCAAATAAACCCTTTCCTTCTCAACTTGATTTTTGGTAATGGTGTTTTTGTTGCAGTTAACAGAAACTCTAACTTTGTATACCAAGTGGTATACAAAGTTGGTTACACACAGAAAGTAATTACAGTAAACTCACAAAAGCACCAACCAGACTGAGAAAAATGTTAAAGGGAAGAAAACAAGAAAGACAAAACACAAGACAGAACTGTGGTCACAAAGTAAGAAGCAATAAAAAAGAAAAGGTTAGCCCTTCAAGTTTTAGATTTGAGAACAGAATGAACAAACAAGAAAGCAGACTCAACATAGAAGAATTTATGATGGCTCAGAGGTTAAGAGTACTCTCTTGCAGAGGACCTGTGTTGGGTCCTAGCTCCCATGTTATGTGACTCAACCGTCTGTTACTACAGCTCTGCAGAATTCAGCACCCATTAGTAGCTTCTGTGGGCACCTGCATGCATATACACATGCTCACACACAGATATACCCACATATGCATAATTAAAAATGCATGAGAAAAAAAGTATTATTGAACTTAATTAGGATGACAGAAATATGCAGTAGGCAAGTGACTACAGATCTAGACCTGAGATTAGGGAGACGGTTCAGTTGATAAAGAACACTCGGTATGCAAGCATGACAACCTGAGTTCAAAACTCACATCCACATAAAAAGATGTAGACACCTGTTCCTGTAACTAGCAGCAGGAGGCGCCAAAGACAAATGGATTCTAGGGTCACTAGTCAAGGAGCCTAGCCGGCAGGTCTAGATAAAGGGCAAGCTTCAGTTCAGTAAGACACCCTGTCGTAAAGTACTAAGGCAAACTGCAACAGAGGAAGCTAACATTCTCTGGCCTCTGCATGTATGGATATAAACATATGCACCCCTACACCCACACCACAAAAGAGGCAATGAACCAAAGGCAAAATACTGAATTCCCCAGACTGTATACACACATTAAGAAGGAAAAACCATGAGTGAAATATATACACACACATGGACAGATATATAGAGCCAGAAAACTGAAAAACCTTGGGTAAGCTAAAGCAGTCAGTTACCTCAGAAAAGCCACTGGATTTACAGAGGCACTGTCACTGAGGAGCTGTAGTAGCATATGCTCATTGTCTTGCTGAATGAGACAGGTTACATGATATGTACCATCTCACAATACACTACATTATATTATAGTTTAAAGAGGAAAAAACTATAAACATTTAGACTTTTCCCCCTCAAAAGTATATGCTTTTATTTTCCCAATTTTCTAAAAGAAAAACTTGCATTTCAAATTAGTTTAAATAAGGTAGAGGGAGAAGCTGAACTAAACTGACTTAGGGAAACTGGTAGGAGTGCTGTTCCAGAGGACCCAGATTGAATTACCAGCACCCACGACTCACAACTGTCTGTAACTCCAGTTCCAGGGAACCCCATGCTCTCTATTTTGTTTTTCATTTTTTGAGACAATATCTCTCTTATATAGCCCTGGCTGTCATAGAACTCATTACATAGATGAGGCAGCCTCAAAATTCACAGAGATGCATCAAATGTGCTGGAATTAAAGGTGCACACCACCATGCCTGGCCCCTATTTTGACCTTCAAAGGCAGCAGGTGAGTACTTGGTACACAGACACACCCATGCACATTAAAAAATAATAATAAAGAAAATTGGTAATATTATTATTCTTATATTGTATATACTAGGAGAATAAGCAGCAGATTTTTTTCAAGAAACTCCATTGCATATGAAACAAGTAACCAGGAACATACAAGCAAAGGACTGAAGCTATGGAAAAGGAAAGACAAATGGTAAAGATGGAAGAGGAGGCTAGGATAATAAACATGTAAAGAGGTCACGTATGAAGCTTGATTAATTAGTTTCCTTAGCTGCAGATTTATCTATTTGTTTTGGTTGTTGTTTTGTTTTGTAACTACTTTACTTATTTTTTGAGGGATTTAGAAAATCAGTTGTTGTTTTAAAAAATTGAATTCAAATGGCTAATTTCTATTCTTCTAACAAAAGTAAAGAGTACCTGAACCCTAAGTGGCTTCAATATTTGTGTACTTGTTAAGTGTATTTAACTCCACCTATCAGTGTGTATTTAAAATGCACTGAGGGGCCCTACTATCTGCCTAAACTACATAAATCCCAGCCAATGTATAAATTTTCTCAACCACCAAGCACAATGTCTAAACTGCGGTCTCATTTCTCTAGCACTGTGTAGTTAAGGATGTTCCCCTCTAGTTGACTCCCAGTGGATTTATTTTACGAGTGACATACTTTGTCCCTGTCTTGTTTCTGCAGGCGTGGCTGAATTTCCAGCGCAGACTGTGCATCTTTATCACTGCTTTCCTCCTCAAATCCAGTCACTCTCTGCTCAGGTTCTTCTTCAAGGAATTCTTCTGAGCTCTCTGATGTTCGTGCAGCATACTCTATTCTAGAAAACAAATCAAAACCATTCTTGTTTTTTCTCATTATGGATCAAGATAAAATTTCAAGGATCCATATTTTGGGACAGTACAGGAGATAAATCAGGAACTCTGGTATAGTCAAGCAAGAACTGTACAATCCCAGCCCTTTAAATTCCCCAATCTTTCTTGGGATTCACAATCCTCCAGTCTCAGTATACAAGAATCCCTTCTTAACAAACTAACATTTTAGAAGTAGTAAACGTTATTCCATCAACTTTAGATCCTGAAGGTACAAAACTAATCTTTTCATCCTGATGAATTTATTCTTTTTCTTACCTATTTAATTAAAAATATCACCACCTTCTCTTATTTAAACTGAACCTTTCATCTATTCTACTAAAATGAACATTTTACTTTCAACACTTAGTGCAAAATCACAGGTACTATCTATAATCATAGACACTTATTATTTGACATATACCCAAAGGACTTGACATCATACTTTACAAATAATTGCTCAACCACATTCACTGCCACTTTATTTACAATAGCTAGGAAATGGAAACAACCCAAATGTTCTTCAGTTGATGAATAGATGGTGAAAATGTAAATATGTACCATGGACTTCTTCTATTCAGCTGTACAGAAAAATGAAATTCAGTGGATGGATGGAAGCAGAAAATATACACTGGGGTGGTTGGAAAGCTAAAGGCTCCAATGGGCTCCTCAGTTTGAATCCTCAGTGCTTAGTTGGTGCAACTGTTTGGGAATGATTAGGCAGTGTGTCACTGGGGTGGGGATGACATTTCAAGACTCCCAGTGTGCTCTCTGTTTCCTGTTTGTGGATCAGAATGAGCTCTCAGCTGCTGTTCCACAGCCATGGTCTCCTGCCTCCTGCCATTCTCTATCGTTATGGAGATGGATTTCTATCCCTCTGGAATGTTAACCTCCAAATGCACCCTTCCTTTAAGCCTTTTATCAGAGCAACAGAAAAGGAACTGGTGCCAGGTGAGCTATTGCCATGACAGACATGACTATCTGGTTTTTTGATTTCTTTTGTTTTGTTTTTGTAGGAATATAGAAGACTTTGGGACTTTGGACTAGGAAAACAGTTAAATGCTGTAAGCAGAGCCTAACCAGCCATCCCAGTTGGATTTGGGAAGACTGTACTACAGAAAACAATGTGGACTGTGGAAATCCAGATAGAGAAACCTGAGGGGAAGGGAATAGTAGGTATCATTCTGGTGATGTTATAAAGAATGTAAATGCCTCCTGCTCCAGTCCTAAGAACTTGCCTGACATGAAACTGGAAAGTAACGGAACAATTTCTTCAGAGGAGATTTTAAGGCAGCCTAACCTGTCTTGAAATCACTAATAACCAACTACTCTGCAATGTTGTTACAAACAATCACTCATATGCGGGTCGACAATGAAAAAGTACAAGTGGGGAAAAAGGAAATACAAAACATACAGTTTAAAAAGAAAAGGAACACCATGATACACAGAGCTACAGGACTTAGGAGTTTTCTCTGATGGTTTCTATCTTGTTTTAGTCCAGCATTTCCTCACAACGCCCCATTTCCTCCCTCAACACATATTCTGTGTCTGTATGTTGAACTATGTAATTTGTTTTTTGATTCTGATTTTACAGAGGTTACAATTAAGTGACTGCCTTGAGTCTCTGAGTGTCTTTGAACACTGGGCTTTTTTAAGTATTGAGACTGAAAATTTATGGTGACTTCTGAAGTTGGATTAAATGCATTTTGCATTATGATATGGCCATAAGACAATGGTGGTCAGGAAGTAGAATCCAATGGTTTAAATGAAGATCCCCATGGGTTACAAATTAGAGACAGAGTTGGAGAAGGACACAGGAAGAGTTGGAGAGGAGAGGATGGGTAGAGAGATGTAAATACAGTCCTTGTGGCCGAAACGACACATGTGCGCTGGGGGTGGGGTGGAGCACGCCTTTAATTCCAGTCCTGGGGAGGCAGAGGCACTGGCTCTCTGTGACTTTAAGGCCTCACTACACAGTGAGTTCCATGACAGCCAAAGCTACACAGAGAAACCATGTCTTAGAAAGAAATTAAATGTGTGGGGCTCTAGGTTCAATACCTCCCATACCATGTAAAAATAATCAAAGCCAAACAGATGGCATACAAGACTGAGCAGAGCTAGAAGGCCTTGAAGCTACGAGGTCTCTCTTAACTCTGCTTACAAAACTGTACTTATGTTTAAAGCCCTGACCAAAAGGAACATGTGAACAGTGGTAGAGGACACACAGTATATCTGTGCTCACAGGAACACACACAGCACACACATGCACACACACATAAAATCAAAAAAAAAAAAAAAATCACAAATGTAAAATCATTACTTTAAATAATTGCTTGGGAGAATACTGTAGTTATCTAAACATATTATCCATTTCACACATTTTATTTATATTTATCATTAGTATACATATTTTATTAAGACGTACCATCTAATTATGTCAATCTAAAATTATTTAATAATTAACAGATGTTTGAGTAAACAATGTGACATCTAAGATAACGAAGCTATAAATTAACTAATGATTGGATTGAATAGTTAGTAGGAAAAGTCTAATTTTATTATAAACTGTAACATCTTGGTTTCTATCAGATGCAATCAAGGGCTGTGGCGATGGTTCAGTAGAGCCTGGCAAGCACACAAGCCCTGGGCTCACCCTCTTGTGACGTATACATGAGGTATTATGGTGCAGGCCTGCAATCCCAGCCCTCAGGAGGTAGAGGAAGAAGGAAATGGCCATTTAACAACTTTCAGACCATACGAAATCCTCCTTTAAAAGCTGAAAAATAGCTGGGCAGTGGTGGCGCACGCCTTTAATCCCAGCACTTGGGAGGCAGAGGTAGGCGGATTTCTGAGTTCGAGACCAGCCTGGTCTACAGAGTGAGTTCCAGGACAGCCAGGGCTAACCCTGTCTCAAAAAACCAAAAAAAAAAGTACTAACTTATAAACTACATCCAGTAGCCTAGGTAAAGTGGATTAATTATCATAAAGCATCTGAATTTTTCAAAAACAGATGCTAAGCTTCAACATTACGAAAGCCTATCCTGTCAAACTCAAAGGTGATGATAACGAATCTTCTGGCTAACAGTGACTAGAATACTCAGGATTTGCACACTGGAAGATTCCATGGGTGAGTTTATGCCAACCTCTTACTCATTAAGGCTTTGTACAACACTGTTCAGATAGTAACACTCCTGGGAAACCTGACAGGTAATCTTGTAGCAGAAGCTGGATACAAACCCTTACAAGAATACCTGCTGGACAACAATACAGCAGCTCCACCTTCAGGACTAAATACCCACAGTACGGAAGCAACAACACACAAAACAGTCTGAGTGAAAATCATGAGTTCCTCACTTGTTTATGGAAGCCATAGGTGAAGTCTGGGCAGAGTTTTCATCTTCACCTTGAGAACTACTAAATTCAGAATCCTGAAAACGCTTTCCAATCTTTGGTCGCTTTAGATGACTGCTCCGAGTACGAGTGGAAACAGGAGTCTTTTCTGGACCTGAGGGAAAACCAGTAAAACTTCATTTGACTACGCACGGGAAAGATTACCTACTAAAACACTAAAACACACAGAAATGCAAGATCTGCAGCATGACAACCCACGGCCCCGTTATACAGTGTCTTCCTTCCTGCAGATCCAGCTTAGAGAACAATGTCAGCACTTGTTTTCATTATAAAATAATGGCTAATGTTCACTCTGCATATTCCTCCATCATCAGGAGGATTACTGTGTCTGCACTTTCATCCATGCTCTCTCTTACTGACTTTGGGGAGATGATGTGGATACTATGATCCCCGTGCTACAGTCAGAGACGGGGGTGCTCCCCAGCACCCTCAGTGTTCACACATTAACATCAGAGGCAATGGTGGTGGAGGAGAGCCCAGGCTGGAACACTTACTACAACAAGTGATTTCAGTGATTCTCTTACCTTCAGAAGTGCCAGCAAAGGCATCTTTTAGGGAATGGATCTAAAATAAGAGATAAAGATTAAAATCTAATGTTTTAAGCTATTCTTTCTCGCTATGGACCTCTTTTGTTCATAGTTTCAAAGAAAAATATTACACTGCATTCAAATAGTACTTTTTGTTAAGAAATCTGCCTTCAAAATTAAAAGATTATGTTATAGCCCTTGGTTCATTATAAGCCTAGGAGTTTATCAAAGGACCTGAAATATCTACAGCCATCTGCTCTGCTGGGTAAAGGGTTGCTGCTGAGGTTGTTGTTTTGTGTTGTTTTCATACAACTCTCACATGGATATCTACTGCTAAACATACAACTAATGTTTCTCAACATCTAGCTTGATTTCCAAAGCAAGTATCTCCCAATAGATGGCGCATCTGATTTCACACTAAACCCATCTCAAGATAAATCCCCAAAATTATTTCTCTACATTGATGGCAACAATTAGTCATTCTAGTTAAAACCTATGTAATTAGTAATGAGATAGTCTGAAATCTCATTCGACCAATCACAAAGCTTGCTGGTCAGAGCTATCCTAGCTGATCACCATTGCGTTATCCCAGGCCTTTATTATCCTAATCTGTACAATCCCAAACAGCTTCTTCACTGGTCAGTAGTCCCCTCTTTAACTCCATCCTATCTAATCCTGTACACCCAATAAAAGGATGTTCCCAATCACAAGCTGTACGACTGATTCTTTTGCTTAAAACTTAAATCAATACCTTACAACTATAATTTCTCTTTTTATACATTTCTTTTACATTCTAACTTCTAAAATGCCCTAATAGCTTTTCATAGACCTCCCACCTGCCCTTCAAGTCATCCTTGTGCTACCCTATAATAAGTAAGACAATTATTATCCTGTAGAATATTTACTGCTGTAACAATAGATCATCTAGTTCTCTCATGTATACAAGAACCATACCTTTGAAAGGCCACTTCTTGCTCTGATTCTTACTCCATCACAAAATTCCAACCGCTTAATTCATCTATTCCACACTTACTGAACTACAGCATGGTATACCCAGAGACATTCTATTTAAAGCTGACAGAAATGTATCCTGTATTTCAGAATAGCTAGTAAAACTATGTGAATTTGAAGATGCCAAGTAAAAAAAACAGTAAATGTTTTGAGGTGCAAATTACCTCAATCCAATCATTAAATAATGTACATAATAACTGTCACACTGTACTTAATAAACACACACAAATATGTGTCATTAAAGACTGTGGCAAATGCACAATAAAAATCTTTCCTTCAAGAAGTCTGTCATTCAACTAGAAAAATAAAAATGAATAGATAAAAAAATGCAAAGACTAGATAAAAAGATTCAAAGATACACACATGTAATGATTTATGTACACAAATAAGTGAAAGCAAGCAAAAATCATCACCTAAAGAATACACCATGTAGTTAAAATAAAACTAATAAGTGGTTATAAATTTTTTTTTAACTAAAACATTAAAGTAGTAAAAAAATGAACTTCAAAAATGACAGAACATACAATTTATGCTATTAACCTTGTAACACACGGACACTACAACGTATTCTCATTCAAACGACAGTTAAAATCATTTGGTATTATATTAAAATAAACTACAGCCTTTATTACACTTGTTAGAAGAGCATAATTTCAAGTTTTCCTTGATTTTATAAAAACTGAAAATACTATGTGAATGTGTATCAGAGAAATATGAGCTGTAACATAAAAAGAACACGGGCTTGCTAGGCATGGTGGCATACATTTAGTCTGAGAACTCAAGGGGAAGAGGTAGGTGGGACTTTGTGAATTCTAAACCAGCCAGGGCAACTTAATGAGACACTGTCTCAATAATAAACAATACATATGTATATATCTTAAACTAGTTTTAATTATCTTGTAATACTTTGAGCATCATTACAAATCTTTTTCAAAAAGCATTAAACTTTAATAATCAACTGACAGAAGCTACCAAGAAAATGAATGCAATTGAAATTACCTAAGCTTATGTAATAAATGTTTGAAACTTTGGGTACAAACACTTACAGTCTGAGCTATTTATGAGGCTGAGGCAGGATATTTTCAAGTTCAAACTAGAATATAGGCCTACCTGAGCAACACGGTGTGACCCACCTTAAAATAAAAAGTAAAAAAGGGCTGCACTGGGGACATAATTTAGTGGTAAAACACTTGCCTAGAATATACAAGATCTACCATCACCAAAACAAGCAACAAACACAAATGACACAAAATATTACAATTTCCTATGATGGTCAAAGGTATACCTGCAGCTCACTAGACTGACTCTCTTCCATTCCAGGTTCATATTCCGGTACAGCAGCAAGACCATATTCTCCAGACACAGGCCTTTTGGCTTCATATTGAGAAATGTCTATATAAAGAAAAAATTTTAAATTATGAACCAATCCTGTTTGATTTTTATTTTAATACTATTTGATTTTCCCAAATTGCCAAGAGCAGCATATATAAACAGGAATCAAGAATCTAGATATGTCTCCTTTACAACACCTTGTAACTAATCCATTGATCCACAAAACCTATCCATGCTTCTTTATTAATATACTTATTTTTTACTCCCAACTTTACTGGATTATTTCATTGTTTGGGCTAGTCTAAGTCAGTTTTTGTTTTTGTCATTGTTTGTTATTTTGGGTTTTTTGTTTGGTTGGTTTTTGTTTTCTTTTTTGTGAGATAGGATTTCTGTGTAGTCCTGGCTGTCCTGGAACTCACTATGGCCAGACTGGCCTAGAACTCAGAGATCTACCTGCCTCTGCCTCTCAAGTGCTGGGATTAAAACCATGTGCTAACACCACCTGGCATGTCTTTTGTTTTATACTTTTACTTTTTAGACCTACTTAATGTGTATGAATATTTTGCCAGTATGTATGTATGTATAACATGTATACCTGGTGGCCAAGGAGGTCAGAAGGTGTTAGATCCCCTGAAACTGGAGTGACAGAGATGATTGTGAGCCACTACGTGGGTGCTGGTCCTTTACAAGTCACAAATGCTCTTAACTGCTGAGCCATCTCTCCAGCCCCCTGTACACCTCTTTTTTATTAGTGACTCAAAAGTAAAAGCACGGTAAAAATTTCAAACTTTGAAAGAGAGTCTGTGTGATGGTTTGTATATGCTCCGCCCAGGGAGTGGCACTATCAGAAGGTGTGGCCCTGTTGAAGTAGGTGTGTCACTGTGGGTGTGGACTATAAGATCCTTATCCTAGATGCCTGGAAGTCAGTATTCTGCTAGCAGCCTTCAGATGAATACATATTACTCTCAGCTCCTCCTGCACCATGCCTGCCTGGATGCTGCGATGCTCCTCCCTTGATGATAATGGACTGAATCTCTGGACCTGTAAGCCAGCCCCAATTAGATGTTGTCCTTTATAAGACTTGTCTTGGTCACGGTTTCTGTTTACAGCAGTAAAACCCTAACTAAGACAGTCTGCAATCAGAAAGATCAACACTGCTGTGAGGTATAAGACACCACCACTATTACTGGGCGCTGCTTTTTAAACTGTTTCATATTCTACTAGTCTTACCTGTGACTTTAATAGCCTCTCTCTGTAATGCTCTGGTGACTGGTATTCGCTGATGCCAGTGACCCACACCTTCAACTTCCCAAAGAAGTTCATGGTCTCCTGGGTACTTTTCAAAGTATTGTTTCGAGGCTGCAAAACACATTTAACAATTTTCTAGAAATCTTCAAATGGCAAACAGAACAGAGAGAAGTCAGGTTCCCAAGTCAGTCAGTGAGGAGCATAACCTTTGAGCCAAAAACATGACCGAGGTAACTCAGAGTCAACAGTAATCTCAGTCACAGGTAAAGATCTTGAGGCTGGAAAGACGGCTTTGTGGTTAGGAGCATTTGCTGCTCTTCCAGAGGATCTGAGTTTGGTTCCCAGAACCCATATGATTGCTCACAACCATCTGTAACTCCAATTCCAGGGGATCCAAGGCCCTCTCTGGCCTCCACAGGCCCTGGCATTCACACAGTACAGATACACAGGCCAAACAATCACATAAAATGATAAACATATCTTTTTTAAAAAGTAAAACATTTTACATTTCATATAACAAGTTTAAGTGATAAATGTAAAGAATGTCAGTACATGTGCAAAAGGAGTCACGATGTAAAGTTGATACTACACAGATGAGAGAGGAAAACATTTGACAGTCTGTCAAAGTAAGTCATAAAAAAGAGGCCAAACTGTAGTAACATGTATCGTAAAGCTTTGAGTGAAATGTATATATAGTAAAGCCTTTGCTATGTCTGGGCTAATAAGTATAAAGACTGAGAAAACTCAAAAGCAACAGAGATTCGTGTGGGTTGTCTGTTCTCTTGGGCAGCAAGGGAAAAATAACTTTGGTATTTGAAACCTTTTTCAGCCCCAATTAACCTTTTATAATGTTTGAATAAAGTAACGGGGGTGAGCTGGCTGGTTGTCAGTCTTTTCCAAGAAGGCTGAAGCCCTCTGCTTCTTCAGAAAGCAAAGGCTTAGCACCTTGGTGAGCTTCTCTCTACTGCAGCACGTAAGACCATCGTCAAACAATATCACAATCACTTATCCGATCACACTTGGGTGATCTAACTAGAACAGGTAACTATAATTCAAAGGGTGAGGTTATAAGGGCATTCATACTGTGCATGAGACAAAGTTCTGGATACAGTAATGGTGCATATACACACCTCCACAGAACTTACATACTAAACGACAAATATCACCAGAATTGTAATGACTGGTTAATAAAAAACAATCACAAAGCACATAATGCTTTAAAAAGTTACGGACATGCAAACATGACATCATGAGAAAGAAGGACGCACAGATTCCAGGAGTTCAATGTCTAGAGAGCAAAGGCAAAGGAAGGCATGGGATTACTAACAGCTCCAAAGGAAAGATGAACTGTACAGAGAGTGATCTGGACAAACCCTCGTATCAAAATGCTGTTTCCAATTTCAGAGTTATTCATATTTTAAATACTCGTATGCTTTGTTACTAGGCATACTTAATCTGAAAATTAAAAATGCTCTGAAACATGAAACTTTTTGATTGACGTATGCTTAATAAGTTTCAGACCTGGAGCAATTTCCATTTTGGTGAAGCATGCTCAGCCTAGATGTAATTCTCATTAAAAACAAACTTTTGTCAAAGCTGTCTAATCTGCACACTGAATACAAGGATAGCAGGATACTAGTCTATCATGTGAGCATATTATGAGTGTCTAGTGCGAATCCACAGACTGACTGGAACTGGGCGTTGTCCAGTTCTTCTCTCAAATTATAAAGCTATGCCCCTGAGTGTAATAAGAAAAGTACTTCCTGGAGCAGCAGCATTTCTAACCCAAGGTAACTCACACACACATTTGTGTAAATGGTCACCAACACTGTCCTGTGGCCACTAGGTAGGCGTCTCTTATCTCAAATGCTTGAGACAGAAGTTTTGGATTTTGTCTCAGATTTTACTATCTGCCAACCTTAAATACAAACCATGCCTTTGACCTATGGTCAGCTGTCTGTCCACCTTCTCTGCTTACCGGAAGTCAAAGGCATGGCTTCTGCTCTTCCTTCTTCTCCATCTTTCTCCTCCTGGCAGCTGCTGGGACTCGGGGCTTGGCGATCTTGTGGTTTTTCTCTTAAATTCTAGTTTGACTCTTAAGCTTCTTTCTGAGTCTGTTTTTAATTTTTTTTTTTAAAGACTTGTTTATTTTATGTATATGAGTATACTGCAGCTGTCTTCAGAGACACCAGAAGAGGGCATCAGATCTCATTACATCCCAGCAACCACATGGTTGTGAGTCACCATGTGGTTGCTGGGAATTGAACTCAGGACCTCTGGAAGAGCAGTCAGTGCTCTTAACCGCTGAGCCATCTCTCCAGTCCCCTGTTTATAAATTTTTTAATAAAGGACTAAGAATCTGTAAAAGGAAATTCTAATTCCTCAGTAACATGTGTCTTATTCAATTTTATGTTTTAATAAAGACAGAAGAAACTTGCAGGAAACAAAACCAGAATAATAATAAAAAAAAAAAATTAGTGCTGCTATACAGAAACTGCAAACTATTTCTTTAATGTGTATGGGTGTTTCGCCTGCATGTATGTCTGTGCACTACATGTGTACCTGCTGCCCACGGAGGCCAGAAGAGAGACTAAATAAATAAGCTTTGGGGAAAAAAAAGAAAGAAGCCTTGCAAAAATTGTTATAAACTCCTTGGCATGTTATCCCAGAGCCTGGAGGTTAAGACACAACGATCATTATTTCAAAGCCAGCCTGTCTCCACTTAAAAATTTTTAAACATTTAAAAAATAAAAAAGTTATCCTCAAGCTGGAGAGATGGCTCAACAGTTAAGGGCACTGACTGCTCTTCTGGAGGTCCTGAGTTCAATTCCCAGCAACCACACGGTGGCTCACAGCCATCTGTAATGGGATCCTATACACTCTTCCGTGTGTCTGAAGACAGTGACAGTGCACTCATATACATAACATAAATAAATAATATATTTTAAAAGTTATTCTCTTCATAACCGCTAGTATCGTAAAATAAAACTACACTTGTAAAGTTAAGTCCTAGAAAGTGAAAACTTCCAATCTCATTCAAAACTGATAATATCCCTTTACAATATTCTGGGAAAAGCAATTTTAGGTGACATCAAGTTTAACATTTTTCAGCTCAGTCCACTTACCTGTGTACATGAGAGAAGACAGTGGATACCGTAAGCCAAGTGCATCTTCTGTAAAAGAATCAACAAAATCTTCCAGCATATGAAGGCCCAAATCTTTTCCTCTATGTTTCTTCCTTATAAACATTGTATCAAGAACTGGCAGTTGGTAATTCTGAGTAAGAAATGAGGCACATAAGCTTCCTGCAGTAGTAAGAGAAACCAAAGAATTTATATATTATGCTGCATGTACATTTAGTAAATACAAGTTAACATTTCTCAAAATAGCTTTCCCTTATGTCAAGAAGCACACCAAAATAATGTATATATTCTGTATAAAGTGTATTACAAGCTTTGTTATACACCATAATGTATATGTGTGATAATAAGAATAGCTGTTATTTTATGTTTACCAACAGTAAGTTAATATAGGACAAATAGCTTATTACCATTTCATGACGGACATACTTGACTATGACTATATGTATACTACACTATTACTATCTCTAGACATAACCTAACTTCTCCCTATCTCCTCCACAAACTAAACCCATGAGCTAAAATTAAATCTTCTTTCAATTGCTTATGCTCAGATATATGGTCACAGCAACCACCAAGTCTGACTAGAACACTATACAAGGAAATGGTATTTGGTCATAAGAAGAGTTGGAACTGGAGAGACAGCTCTGGGATTGGTTCTCAGCACCCATGGCTAACAAACATCCCTAACTCCAGCCCACCTCTGATATCTGAGGGCACAAGACATGCACATGGTACACATACATACAAGGAAACAAAACAATAATACAGATATAATAAATCTAATCTTTTCAAAGAAGTTAAATACTGACACACATTATATTATATGAGACTTGAAAAAAGACTGTTAAGCCAAGGGGTGGGGGGAGCTAGATACATGCCACATAACATATGACCTAGATTAATTAGTGGAGTAATAGCTGCCAAAGGCTGGAAATAGGAGTGACTATCGTATACAGATTGTATATAGTATACTACTGTATACAGATTTTCTGGTTTTGTAATAATAAAAATGATCTAAAACTGGTGAAATATATCTGAAATGAGTACATTTTGTAGTATATGAATATACAACTTATTTAAAATATAAATAAAATAGCAATTTACACCTTTGATGTATACCATTTATAGTCAAATTCTGCAGAGACAAATCTGAATGCATGTTCCTTCAAGTTCACCCATTTTCTCAGTAAATCTCGACATCCATTTGTCCAGTTACTCTGAGCAAAAAGCCCAGCACTCACGCCTGGTTCTTCCTACAATCTACAACAGTCCCTCAGAAATCCTGCAGCAGGAATAGCAGAAATGCCTTGGGCCTTTTTTCCTCTGCCCAGGCCACAGCACTGATACCAGGCCTTCCAAAGCAGCCTTGTCACTGCATTCTCAACCCTGCTGCCATGCTTTGTATTGGTGAGTTGGCATGAGCAGTTTCAGCTCAGTGCAGAGCTGGCTCTGGAGGTCCCTCCCCATTTCAGACCTAAACATGTTTGTCTTAAGTATCCTCTAAGGTCCACCACAAAAATGAAACAAACAAAGAGACAAACAAAATAAAACAAAACCAGCACTGTGACAGAGAGGGAAGAGAACAAAACAGCTCAAGGACAAAAACATGTTCTAAAAACAACTAAAAGGGGTAAACTATTTCCAACAAATGTTACTACTATTTATCCCATAATATAAGAGTGCAAGGAAGTTGGAAGTCCAATCACAGGAAGCTCAACCCTGGAGAGAAAGCTCAAGAGGAAACTCAGCTGTCTTATTTCCTTTCAGCTGGTTATTGTGAACGCCAGACTTGATGCTGTTATTGCTATCTGCTGGGAGCCTTTGGGGAGACTCTGCTGTCAGGAACCCTCCTGGTCTGGAACTCCAGTGGGGTGCCTTAATGATGCTTCCCACTGGGCTTCTAACAGATCTGATGACATTAGCTGTTATTTATTCGTTCACTTGGAAGCCTCGCTAGGGGGTGGAATGACACGGGAGACTTTCTATCAACAACTCTAGTTACCTGCCTCAATGGGGCTTTCCCAACTGATTGCTGCTGGGCATTTTAAGAACCTTATTTAAAGGTGTTCTGCTATCTATCTTGATATTTATTCTTACTGTGGTTTGCTATGCATTTTAGAAACTCACTCATTCAAAACCAATACTAAGAGTAGAGATGGATCAGTTGTTTAGAACATCCGTTCTTGCTAAGGACCTGAGTTCAGTTCTTAGCACCTATATGGTGGCTCATCACCATCCTTAACTCTAGTTCCACTGGATGTGACTCCCTCTTCTGACTTGTGTGGGTACCATACACACGATACACATATACACATGCAGGCAAAACACTCATACACATTAAAAAAAAAAAAGCTGCATTTTTTTTTTGTTCAGTGTTTCCGCACTAAGAGTCACATGACTTATCTCAGTGCTTACTCACTTTCTTTAAAACAACAACAACTTTTACTCTCAGGTGAAATAGATTTAAATTTCTAGTGAATTCATCCCCATATTGGGTGCCACTTTGTTGAGGAAGATATTTAAAACGGCTGAGGCGCCATGTTCCTGAGGCCATGCCCCTGCTCCTCAGGCCCCTGCTCCTCAGGCCCCTGCTCCTCAGGCCCCTGCTCCTCAGGCCCCTGCTCCTCAGGCCCCTGCTCCTCAGGCCTCGGCTCAGGCAGCCAGCTCAGGCACCAGAGACATCGGCCCTGCCACCCACAAGACTAGACGCCTGCTTGAGAGATGGCTCTGCCAATCTACCACGCTGTCTCCTCAAGGCTGGGCTGAGCCCAGACCATCCAGCCATCCACATGGTACCCGGTATGAATGAAACTCTAAGGCTTAATGATCAATCAAAGGCTTTATATGTTTGGTAATGCTCAATAACAATATGCTCATACAATTAGAGGTGTTTCCCAATTAACTAACCTAGATATAAGTTGTTACCCAGGACTGCTTTCCATACCTGTGTGGCTCTCCATCCTCTTACATCTCTGTCTCTCCCCTCCTCTTCCTCTCCTTACTCCTCCCACCTTAGCTCCTCCCACTACAAAGCATGACTTAGTTTACTATAAGTGATTCTCTGGACTAAACAAACCCCTGCACACTCTGGGCACCCTGTACTGAGCTCCTAGTGCTGCTGAGTGCCTTTTAAAAGACCATGACGGAGTTAGGCAGAGGTAGAGCATCCTTTACTCCTAGCACTCAGGTGGGAGAGGCAGGTGGATCTCTATCTACAAGAGTTCCAGGACAGCCAGGGCTACACAAAGAAACTCTTGTTTTCTTGGGTGCAGGGGGCAGCAAGAAAGATAGTGTTACTCTCCATCCTGAAACCACTTCTTCCCTTCACCACAGAACAGAATTCACTCTCTCTTTTGCCTAGAAACTTTTTTTTTTTTTTTTTTAAAGATTTATTTATTTATTATTTGTAAGTACACTGTCGCTGTCTTCAGACACCCATATGAGGGCATCAGATCTCATTGCAGATGGTTGTGAGCCACCATGTGGTTGCTGGGATTTGAACTCATGACCTCTAGAAGAGCAGTCAGTGCTCTTAACCGCTGAGCCATCTCACCAGCCCCGGCCTAGAAACTTTTTAAGATGCAACCTCTACTCTCTCCAAATTCTACCACTCACTCTTTAAACCAGGCTTGGAAGCCACCTGCAATTTCTGAAGTATTCAAACCTGTTTCTCCACTTTCACTTCCTACCTGACCTCTTCTGACACCTCGCACTTCCTGTTACTCCATCAGCTCATTCAGAAAACCTTCTCCTAACCACTCTATTTAAAAATAGCTTTTTTGTTTGACACCCTCTCTTTAATCGACTTTTCCTAGCACCTACCTGTCTACTCATTACCCTCGCGCCCTCTAAAATCAAGTTCCTCAAGGACAGAGTTTGCAAAACTTGTACTGTTCTAAGTATGTCCCTCTTATTCTTTCTCCCTACTATTCCCTCCCCTATTCCTCATCTGTATGTCACCTAAAAATGACATAAATAAACACACTTCAGTGCTACTACTCAAGACTAACAGACACCACACGCCTATTCTGTCAGACCAAACAGCTTCCTCATCTCAGAGTCACTTCTTTGTCTACTGAGAAAGTATTCCTTCACCTATTCCTTCACTGCCTTAAAACCACCTTTGGCATCTCATAAAAGTGTCAGTGTGTGGGTATCTTTCCCACGCTTGTATGATGTGAACACCAAAAAAATGAGGTGATCATTCTTCGTGTTTTTTAAGTCAGTTAAATATTAGCTATCTAAAAGAAACCAACTCAGGAAAGGTAAGGGTCTGGTTTGGGCTTGAGTAATGATTCCCCTCACAATTATCCAGAAGGTATTTCAAATTACCTGACACTGTAAATTTTAGACACAGACTAAATGTTATTAGTTTAAAACAAAATAATTACTATTCATCTTCAGAGAGCTGAAGCTCAGACCCCATCTCCGGCAATGAACTCATTACACTCTATACTGTACTTTATTCTTTCCAATGTTTTAGTCCCACAAGCTTACATCTATCCTTCTCTAAGACTCTGAGAAAGGTTGCACAAGGAGGATGATATGGTAAAAGTACAGTTTATCTCAAAAATCCATGCTGAAACATACTCCCCATTATAAGCACATGCTTTAATCCCACCACTCAGGAGAAAGAAGTAGGAGATCTCTATGAATCTGAGGAGAGCCTGGTCTGCATAGCCAGCCTGGTCTGCATAGACCCTGTCTCAAGAGTTAGGACCAGGTAAGACTTTTTAACAAGTGATTAGGAGGGGTTGAGGATTTAGTTCAGTGATAGAGCGCTTGCCTAGCAAGCCCAAGGCCCTGGGTTCGGTCCTCGGTCCTCAGCTCTGACAAAAAAAACAAAAACAAAAACAAGAAGTGATTAGGAATCTACACTCATGCACACAAGATCAATGCATCTATACTGACAACAGCCAATTTGACTCACTTCTCTTCTGTGTTCCGTCTCCCACCATGATGGCTGTGCTACTTGGAACTCAACCAACAGAAACCATCACCAGATGAGTACACATGCATTCTTTGTAACTTATCCTGTTGGTGGCCATTGGCATCAGAAAATTGACTGACAGATATATAACTCAATCACCAGTCATGACTCAGATTTGAATGAAGACTTTAAATACAAAGTTCTGTACCTAAAGTGAATACATTCTGAACAG